TCTTTTAGTCATGTCAACGGATTTAGCCTTATCATGACGAATGCCCAGACCGCAAAGACGTGTACAACAAGTGGGATATGAATTCCTTTTCGTCCTAGCCTGCAACCGTCCCACGACTACGTTGTTAAAATATTTACAGTGCTGCAAACCTTTTGAATTAGCATAGACAGTGACGAAATTCACGTGGGAAAAAACCTCGTGCAAGGCGGCGAAGAATGCCAAAAATTGCGTTTGTTTGCACTTCGCATTCCTGAAAAGTTTATGATGTTGCTTTATTGCACAATGTGCCTGACGCAAGAAACTGCCGCGTGCCCGTTAACTGAAGTGTGTTGGGCAAACAATTGGCAAAGAATGGATCAAAAAAATCTTTAGACGGGGTCACGAGGGGTTAACTCGCTGCCACGAGGTTTGAGCGCGGACTGCTTTACATCTTCGAGGAGTTTACATAGGGAATCACGCCAACCCCTTGGCCTGTATTTTCAGAAGGACTTTTTCCCACGCAAAACAATGGCACACTTTTGCAAACAGCCGAGCGATCGGAAACGCGACACTGAATGAAACAATGCAGTCCTTAGCCTTGTTATTTCAGTAAACATCTATTGGGTCAAGGCGTCCAAATTCGACTTAAGGAATGTTTTTGCAAACCCTGCCCACGGCGGCCTAACAATTCCAAGGATACCTTCGCCGACAAAACGAGGACAATGGCGGGAAATGTTCTAGCAAACAGAACAACCGCATCGGCGATGCGAAATTAGCTGCCGACAAAGCCAAAACACGCCGCGTCTGGAGCTTAGCTATCGAGATTCTTTGTTTAGATAAGGTTGCTCGAGACCTGTGCCTTGTGTCCCATCGCGGGGTTTATCGAGATCGATATCAAGCGAATATCAGTTGACAGGATTGTGAATGCACATAAAGCAGACGCTTCTCTCCGCATGGACGCTTTAAGAAAGATTATTTCTTGTCGCGCTTGGAAGCCGGAAAAGGCTATTTGTCGCTTAGGCCGGGGTGCTAAAAGGATAGCGTGTAAGCATCTTAAATCATTTAGCGAGTAAATGCCATTCATCGACTGAGTCTTGTTATCAGAATATAGCGATCTTGACGCGTCGGTCAATTGAATCTACATGACATGATAGCATGGTTATCAATTTCACTGTTGAGTGAAACAGGCTGAAAGTTACAAGCCATATTTGCTCAGCGGCGCGCTCTCTGTAGAAATAGAGCACGGCTCGCCCAGAGAAATAAGCGAATAAGATTAATTTTCTGTAACCTTTATGGGATTCTGTGAACCGCCGACACTGGGCAGATTAAAGAGGGGGATTTCGTAAGCCTCATCAGTGTCATCGCAGTGTTTTTGTGCCTCTCTTCGCGGTCATTTTTATTAATTCGAGTTGCGTATCATCTGTTGGTATAATTCTTTCAGTTCAACTCCCTTACCAAGGAAATAGGCTGACTGCAACTTAGTTTCTCAGTGACATGCAATACATTTGCAAATTTATCTCAGAAGCCCTTGAATCAACATTCCGCCCGGTTTGAATATAACTTTCTAGCAACCCTTTGAAGTGCATGGCGACAGAAATGAGCCATAATCTATTCCCTGCCATAAAACCATCAATAAAAAGTAATAATGAGTTAAGTAGCTAGAAAGACCTACTACAGTTTAAACAGTAATTTTTTAACAAAACAACATTAGCTGACTTGGAGGCACGACATACGTTATAACCCCCAATATTAGCTACCGAGCAAAACTGAAATACTTTAAGTCGTAGTACAGACGACGAAATTTGATCATTGTTTTGAACCACGACATCATGTTTTCTTTCTTTGGTTCTGAGTATTGTTTCAAGGCAGTGAAACTGAGAAACTGAAATTAGAAAATGATAATAATCAAAACATTATATAAAATAATACATGTTATTAATGTTCTCTGCATTAGGTGGTAACTCTTTCTTTGTTTTGGAGTTTTATTGGTTTGATTTGAGATCGGCAAGACTTAGACGGCTGTTTTCAAGCTGGAAACGAAACAGTTCTTAGTAAGTTGAATGCATTTAATATGTTTCAGTTCGGATATAAAAAATACGATCAATCGAGTGAAAGTTGTTGATGAATCTTTTAGAACAGTTTTAGTTAGTTACACCGTAAAGCCTGTATAAAACCGGACACTGGTGAAATGATACTTACTGTCAGCTATTGGACATAATTTTCCGGAGTTTGAGCCGCAAGTGTTGACCACCAGATTGTTGTGGTAATGACACATCGAAACGTGAAGCATGACCTTTCAGGAATGGAACTTGTTGACGACTGCAATTTTGTGCTATTGTTCAGTCAAGCCCAACAATTATGTCGAATGAAAAGCAGAACCCGATTTAGTAGCTTTTATTTAGCTTTATGTGTCAAAAAGACGAGCTTTTTAAACCGTTCTGCAATCGACGTTGTGGTGTGTAGCATGTTCTGGGCCACAATAAAACAGGAAATGGTTGGTGTACTGAAGTTTACAATCAGGTGGAAATTCAAATCATTCGACTTTCTAATGAGTGTCGAAGTTGTATGCCTCAGGGTAACTTTGTCTACAATAAAAGTGGTTAATGACTGTACCCGCCTTACCCTTCGAAAGTGAGTTGAATCTCAAGTACTCAAGTTAAAATTATATTGTAGTTTTGATTTTGCCATGAAAATATTTCTTGCCCAAAAGCGCGGCGACCACGAAATTCTTCAGTTGAACTAAAAGTGAACGTTTTCAGTCTACAAGGGACACTGAATTGTAAATACAGCGTGGTAGAATAAATGCTGATATCTCTTTTGGCATTACGGTGCAATTATGCGGACAACGTCGGTTCAAAAGTTTATCGCTTTGTGCACGCGACGGTAATTTTCGACCTCTGAAAAGAACTTCAACTTTTTCCTGTCGTCTAACAATCAAAAACTATTCCTAATACCTCTCCTTTTAGCTTTCAATGAAAGTATTTTGAGAAATTCTGCAAATCGTGTAGTAACCATGCTAGTGCAATGTTGTTATGGTGTTATGTTCATCCTGGTTCATTGTGTTGACGCAATTTAGAATTGCTACCATATGGGACCATATGTTCCAAAATGTGAGACAAGTGTACTTTTCTGGCATTGTCGGTACTTCTCAGTTAAGTTTTTGAAGCATTTGAAGGCCGAATGACAGTCCCTATTATGTGAATTTAGCTAAAAACTCTTGCGTGTCGTTTCGAGGGAACGCAGTTTATCGCATGCAAGAATTTGCTATTTATACTCACATAGTCTGCGCAAGAAGTGCTATTAATTTTAACTTTCACAAAATGTCAGGGCTTCGCAAAGCAAATATAAGAAAGTTTATGCAAAAGGCTGTATTTCGTAGTTGGCGGCGAAGTTATAACTCTAACCAAATCTTCAATTCAACGGGCATATCGTAAATTAAGGCTTAGAACTAATTTTCCTGCCGTTATAAAAAAATTACGAGATCAAGCCTACATAAAGTGGCCTAAAAGATGTAATTTTCTTTGAGAAGTATCCATTAGTCTTATAATTTGTCTATAAAATGAAAAGAAATTGTGGTAAAGCTGACGAAAGAATAAATTGGAGATAAATTTATAATCAGATCTCCCAGACCCAACTTGATGACTAAAGAGATACAGTAGTTATGTAAACATTGTGTAGTTCTCTGGAAGAATTTTTACATGCCAAATTTTATCTTCACTCGGAATCGTGGATCTTACGCTGTTGTTTGCCATGATCCGATTCAAAACACGGCACAAAATGAATCTAAAAGAAGCAATTATTAATTTACATAGACTGTAGAAGGTCATCTGTTTAGTTGAACCTTGTCTACATATCAAGCACGCAAGACAGTCACCTCACGCAAGCTTTTCCCGCACGTGAAACACAGGATTCGTGGCTAACTTGTGGGAACACATTGCTAAACCACGCGTCAAATCTCGCATAGTTGCAAAAACAGGAAGCCTATTCCTAAGAAACGTCCAATTTCAGCCAGTTTAGAATCACATGTACCTCACAATAGCTGTCACAAGCCATATCCAAAATAATAACTCACAACAAAAAGAACCTATCTAAAAATTCCATTCTTTCGTCCTTCTCGCCCGAGGCTACAAGGGCGAATCGCACGAAACTGTAGCAGGAGCAGGTGCGATTTAAATAAGTGTCACAATATCCTTAAGGAAGATAGTTGACTTTTAAAACGATTTTAGTCCGCGAGCAATTTGATAAACATCGAATTTTAACCGTTTTACCCCGCCTTTTCTATTCAAAGTGATGAGCGACGGCGATGTATACCTTTATACATGTATTCATCACTCCCATTTCGTGGCCAATTTATCTGATTATCTGCAGTATCTAGAAAGGAAGGAAAGAGAAAGGGGGATTGACACGATGAAGCAGAAGGCAAAATAAGGCGGGGTTTGAAATGTCAAACTTGCAAAGTACCACCTGACATTTTCTGTTCTTCTGGCACCAAGGTGTCTGGAAAGAAATTTTGCTTTAAACAATTGTGAACATCTGAACGCTTTTTACTTTAATTGCTACAACTTTAAGAACATTGATGAACGTAAATTGTCAGTACAGTACCCTTTGGTCTTTCAATGTACGCTTTGGACTTCCTCGAATGGTTAAGCTCTTGAAACAGTTTAGGGCAATTCCATCAGCTTTTTTTCCTTTACTTTCTTGCGCGCACAATACAAAACCCTTTATTGACTGGCCGCCAAAAGAAACGCAGTTGCCTTAGTTTCTTTTAAAAGGTTTTGAAACGCTTTATGAGCCAAAGATAGGCATCCCTACTGTAACACGCGCAAGAACAGCATTGCTAATGGAAATCGGAGAGACCAACAGAGCACGTCACAAACACACACAGACACACTTAAAACAAAATGTCTTCAAGTAATGACTCTGTCTCAATGCTTTTTAACATCGCAAGAAAAGAAATTCCAAAGTCTGGCGCTCGTGGAAGGTGGAGGACAAAAACTGACTACAGCGACACACTCCAAAAACACCGTTGTACACTTTTTTATTGAGAGGTTTTCTCTCAACACGTAAACAATATCCCATAAAATATATACATTGCCAAAACAAGAGTACAATGTGATGTCCCTTGCAATAATTGTCATGAACTTTACACTTTACAGAATGTTCGATGCTTGCGATAGAAGAAATAAATTAATTTCCGGAAGACGAGCGCAATAGCTATAAGTCCAACTCTCTTAAGTCTCTGTTTAAAAGTCGTCTTGCAATCGGTGGAGGATTTAATTTGCTCCAATACCTTCATGCGGTCGCGATACCATATGGGGCGCCTGCTCCGAGAACTGCACCTAACAGCAGAGATAGAAAGAAAGAGAATTACAATTATTTAGGAGAAACAACATTCACGCAGTTTTACCTCTACAACGGGAACAAACAAATCATGAATTCTTTAAATGACACATGTACCATCGAGTCTAACACTAAAGTTATGGCCGAGCCCATCTATTGAGACTTTAGTTTTAGGTTAGCCACTGTAGCCCTCCTGGTCTCAATCGGTGCGTCACCGTTTTAAGCCAGAAATACGACAGAACTTGTCTTTCAACGTTTTGTTTTACGGTTGTTTCCACGTAGCAACACACGTTGCGTCGATTTTTGTGTAGAAAAATGCTACCATTGCAAAGTGCAGAAGCTTACGCATGTGTTCTTTGTTTTCGCTAAATGAACTCTTTTACCGCACGCTGCGAAGTAGATGTTTATCGCGATTAACTCAACAAATATCCCGCTGTTAGGAAAAAGGTCAAAAAAACGTCTTTGTTATTGATTAAATGTTTAAGCTTTAGAGGTACCGACCGCCAGCTTTCCCAAATTTATGAGCACAAAGACTTGGATTTGACAAACGAATCAATAGCGAGAAATTTGACGGGAAAAAAAGGACCTCTCCGCTGTTGAAAGATGTCGAGGAAAACTGAGAAATACCGAAAGCAAGAAGGAAATAGGGAAGACGAATAAGTGTGTTAACTAGCTGAAATTCCAGTAACATGCAGATAAAACAATGTACTACAGTCAAGTTTTATCGCCGCATTTTTAAAGGTGTTCATAAGGCTTATAAATAACCATGTCCTACCGGTGGCTTCTTCATTATGGCCATCAATTTATTTCAAAGAACCTGGAAATTTCGCGTAGAACCGAAGTGAACAGACGGGATTTGGTTGGACCTGTGTTGCAGTGAAGTGTGAGCGCCAAGCTTTTTTAATTTCTTTTGCTCTTGTTCATTCAGTAGCAAGAAAAATGCATAAGGCCAAGGTTTCGTTTCGCCCGAGAAGTCTTTGTTTTGAAAGGTGTGAGGCAATTAGTACAAAGCACAATGCCATACAATACTGACAAATTTCACTTTCCCATAACTGAAAGATTTCTTGATATAACATGAACTGTTAAGACGATGGAAACTCCCAAAAATATAACAACTATTTCCGAATTAAACTGAAATGAAGTGCTTCAGTTCTAAACTTTTCAGTAAGGCCTGAAGGAAAAACGTTTGAGGTCTGAAACAATGGCATAAGAGAGTGGTAAAATCTTTCTGAATATACTCCTCGTCAAAGATCAGGAAAAAAGTTTGCTCAAAATCACTTTATTGCGATGTACGATTGAGTTGACAGAGAATCAAAGCAATTGAAATTTGTAACTCCGGTCTCGTTGAATACGTTGAATATGGTTATGCAAAATAGACAAGCCTTCTATTCAGAAGAGGAGCAATTATGGTGTCATATATACAAAAAACACAAGCCTGCCTCGATGTATACACGCTTGGCTTGTTGGATTAATGGTCCCCTTAGGGTAGACAATCTCTAGCTAAATTTATTTTGACACAAGGGTTTTCCGCTTGTTCGTGCCATTTTCGGTTAAACGCTTGCTTGCGTTATTAGAGAGCGCTTTGCAGCCGTATAATTGGGCCATTTAAACCGCTCAAGATGTTCAGTATTACGCCGGTGGAACGGAGACTTCAACAGTGTAAAAAGACAAAGGAACCAGGTCGCAAATAAACTAACATGCTAGCTGACTCTTTTATGTGTAATTTTGAAGCTTACCAGTTGTTGAAACGGACCTTGATCCATGTCGTTGTGTAAGGCGAACTCATTCAGAGCCTTCCATGGTTGATAACTAGGGATATCACCCATTGCTACGTCAGTTGGCGGTCTTAGCGAAGGTGGAGTTATATTCGAAGAGTAAGTTTGAACACCCGAAATAGCTGATGGCGGTAGCGAGCGGCTGGAGAGTGCGTTCGGAGAGCTACCAGTCGGACTCTGTATACAAACGGCACAAAGATACATTCTGATTAAAAACAAGGGTATAAAAATCGCGTCAATTATTATGACTTCGATCAAGCTATGTTTGCCTTTATAAAACGTATACAGTTTGCTTCCCCACTGAGAATAATGGTAATTGCAATTTTGGTTCGATGCTGCGCCTAACTAGTAAAGCACAACAGGGAGCGATCATCATGAACCGAATCGCGGAGTTAAAGAATTTGGAGCAACAACTTTAGTTGACATAAGACAACTGTGTGTGCGTATGATAATAAAACAGCAGATGCGAACGCGCCGCCGAGTCCGTCAGCGAGCAAGAATGATTTTATAATAGGCCACACTTGTTGTACATTCATATTCAAAAAGGTTGAATGATTTACAAAGCACGCTTAAAATTCGCTTTCTCCAGAGCCGAGATCGTGCGGAAATAAACAAACAATTCCAATGGGTGGTCGATAGTTTAACGAGGAAGTTGGGAGACATTCGTTTTTGACTGAAGCTCAAAAATATCGGAGACCCGTCAAGCCAGCTGTGAAGCCTAACAATCTAAAATTAACACCTTCTGGCTAATTCTTCCAATTATGTTAACAAGAAACATCCTCGCTAGGTGAAGGCAATGAAAGACATTCGAACCAAGGCGAAAGGCGCTTTTTATAGACAACAAAACAGAGGGGAGAAAGCCTTACGTTTGCTCGCCAAGCTCGATTAACCACCTGTGCGTAAATAGTATTCTTGTTTCCGTCTTTGTGGTGACAGAACAAAGTGTTAGCACACGAAAATACTGACAAGAATCGCTCGCGCGCTCATCGCGAACGGGGAATCAAAATTTGAAATTCAACATTTACCTGCCCGTCATCCGAGCCCGCTCCTTGGTGCTGGTGGTGGGACGACGTTTTATTTAACATCATGGACTTTTTCTTGTCTTTACAGCGTTTATTCTGAAACCAGACGCGTATAACTCGAGGGCTCAAGCCAGTCATCTCGACGAGCTGTTCTTTCATCATTGCGTCAGGCCGTGGGTTCGCCGCATAGCATGTTCTTAGCGTGTGTAACTGCTTCTCGTTCAACACGGTCCGTACCCTGGTCGTTTTCTCGGATTTTCCGCGCCGTGTTGGAGAGCCATCGGGCTGACCGTTTGAGTGCGCTGCAAAGGCATCATTATGGTAAACTTAGTCTCACGCTCCACTCGCGCTGGAAACTAATATTTCGAGAGTCGAAACTAATATTTTGAGGAGAATACTTCACTGTGACAATACGGAGCTGTGAAGTCTATAAATGGAGTATGTGTTCAAATTCAGAAGACACTATATACTGCACTCTCGCAATTATACTTCTCGTACAAACATCCTTCAGCTTAAGATTTTGTATTTTCCTGCGGAAATGTTTGTACTTTAGGGAAAGTATTAAGATAAGTATCGGCAGTTGCAATACAACTGTTACAGCTTCAAGGAAATCGTTTGGCTCGCTGAGTTGACTAAGCAGTATTTTAACAGTATAAAGCTGCGTATGGGTCATCCAATTTGCGATCACGGAAACTCTATGATCGGAAATAAATGTCAGAAGTACTTGTGCGTGTTGAACCTTATAATTGGGAAGCGAAGGTATTACCAACAAACATTCAATTCTGAATTAAACTACTAGCGATGACTGAGCAGGTTATAATATTCTCCCGTGTATCCAGGGTTTGACCTGTGACAGCGCGCGGCAAGATCGCCGAGAGCTAAGTTGCCCAACTACAAACCAGGCTTAAATTAAGCGCCATAACACCAATAAACACGTACGCTAAGAAATGCTAAGCTCTCCTAAGTCAACCCGAATTCGAGCAGTTGAAAATTTACCCTGGATACGTGCAGAGTCAATCCGAGTCGCTAATAGTGTTATCAACCCCAATTTGATTAGATTCTGATATATTCACTGACAAGACCTACCGCATCGAAGCAGTAACTGGGAGCAGAAACAGACCGACGTACCTGATGATTGAGACGAGGATCTTTGTCCACCTCGAGCATGTGCCGCTTGAGCTGTAGCAGTCGCTTTCTCCACAATTTCGTTGTCCTCCTTGCAAAATAACCCGTCCTCCCGCAGCGCAAACTCGTCGCCTGGGACAAGTTGCCTACTGCAGGCGATGCAGCGAAAACAGTCTATATGATAGATTTGATTCTTCGCCCTCATCACGAAATCGTTTTTGGTCACCGACCGAGAACACTTGGCGCACTTTGTGCCAAATAACCTGAAGAGGAGGAAAGAAGAAAGATTGTTCAATAGCAGGAAAGCAAATAATGCGCTTCGCAAGAACGACTTTCGCAAATATATCTGTTTCGGTTTCATTCGTATCCGAAGTGACCCGTCAGTATGCGTTTTTAAAATGTTCCTACTCGTTATTAGGCCTAATCCTGAAGATATCCCAGCGGAAGAAACCTGCACGGATTGCAAACTTGCGATCGAAAACGAAATCTAAGAAAACCACAAGTTTAAATTGTACTTTTAGCCTCCTGCTTGTCGAGTTGGCAAACTTTCCCGCCTCGCTTGCCCACAATAAGAAAGAGGCGGAGTCAGAATATAACTTGTGTGAACTAAATTTCCTGAACTCCAGCCGCCCGGTAACCGTGTGAATTTCTTGACAATTAGCTTCCCTGATATCCCCAGAATATACAGCGCTATCCAAAATAACTATGCACGACAGTACACAGCGGGAGAAATCAGGGCAACTAACTAGCGAGTAGCTTATAAGTCGGCTTTGTGAAGACAATACGGTCATAAGCATCAAACAACTACTCTGTCTTCCTAATTAACAACATTGATTCCTTCGCCGGAATAATATGCCGTCAGTGTTTGTAATAAGCTGCGTAATCCCAGAGAACATGGTCTGGTGAAAACGCCGGCGGTCAAATCTGGCACAGTGAGCGTTGATGGCGATTTGATCGCACCTGGCTGGTCTCCGATCCTGATTTCTCAGCAGTAGATTGGTCTGGCTTACCTAACATAATCACGCTTGCAGTACGTCTTTCCGTCTCGCACAAAACACGTACAAGTTTCGTCCAGATACGTGTGGCAATCAGCGCATTTGAGGCAGCCGGCGTGCCATTCCAGGTCGGGTGCTACGCGGAGAATGTACTGGTCTTGAATCTGAGAGCCGCAGCCGACACACATGGATATTCGACGCTTCTCTGCAAAAGAAACACAAAACAAAACTTAAGAGCTCCTTGGTCTAAAGCGTGACAGGAAATACTTCTGAGCGTCCAAGAGAGCCACCGCGCTGAGACAAAGTTTATTTTGACGAGCGGGGAATCGCATCGAGTTAAGTACATACGTTGAAGATCCTGTTCGCTCATTCCCAAGGAAGCTACACAAGACACGCTCGGTGATATCAACCAAAATGGGATTACTAACTGAGCGACACTGCCAGCTGACGAACCGAATACTTCAAAATTCCGATCTCTTTGGAGGGATTACGCTATTGGTGCATCCAGCTCGTACAATGCCACGTGATCCGCGTTGTCATCGTCCGGTAGTTTATTGGCCGGAGGCTCAACCACCAATTTTACAAATTGGTACCCAGTTGTGAATGCCACACTCGTCATTGGTCGCCCACCTTTCATCACTTGTCAAACTTTGCGCGTTTTTTTAGATTTGAAACAGCGATAAACGCAGGTGTACGTTAAGAAACTAACCACAGAGAAATTTTTGTACTCTTGGAAATCACAGAACGGTGTAGCGATCTTGGCCTTACCGATCATGAGTGATGATTTCGGCAAGAGATTAGAAATCAAGATTTCTGGCCCGTCGCTAGCAAATACCTTGGAGCTGTTGTTGACTCAAGTGACAGCTGACTTTTGTATTTCACGTTGATTCACACACGTGGAAAGTTACTAAAGCAATATCTACTAGTGTTCGCCTTGAGAGGAGCGTGGATATCTGTCTGGGTACGTGTGAAATAAATCTACACGATAATTTCATGAGCTGAATTGAATCAGGCTCGCTGGCGTTGCTGCTGAATGGAAGTCGCCTTTCAAATATAGAGAGTGTTTATGCGCCGTCAAAACCCGAGCCCGCCGAGAGAGGGCAATGTGAAAAGCATTGTTCAATTCTCTATGCATGGCGACGCAACAACAAGCAAATTTGAATCAAAACAAAAGGGTGGATTTGGGGCTGGCTCTCATTGAACCTCAAACACTTCGATATAATTAGCAGAAATTTGTGAAAGGAAGCAAACGAGATTTAGCACGTTCTAGTTAGAAGCTCCGCCTCAGCGGTCACCAAATAGTGAGATAGTGTCCGGCTCGGTATCACACTATCGCTCGATGAAAGGAACCCTCAACCTCGACAAAAACCCAGACAAGCCGCGATGTTGAAAACTAGAGAGGTCATGATATTGACACAAATTGGAATGAAAAATATTTACCCGAGAAATTTTCCCTTTGAATAGCAGAACAAAGTCCCCATTGAAAACATTTGTGCCCAACACAACGTGGAATAATAGCTTTTGTTTTCTTAGTTCAACTCGGGGATTTAAAAAACCATTCACCGTTGTCAAACATATCTCTTGATCGTCTGCACATGATTCCATGCCATTGTTGTAGCCAGCCCAACTAATTCATATATTAATTATCTGTCATATTCACTTGTCAAACACCTCATTTACGGACCCCTCGGCACCAGACCTCCTACTTTGAGGTAGTGACTGTAATTTCCTTTGTCTAATGGAGCGTTTAATCCTAAGCTGGATTGACCATCCCTAAGCCGAGCTGTCGCGCTTATAGGATTTCCGACTCGCCTTACTTGAGGATAACATTTTTGGAGAGCGTACAAAAAAGGTTAACACTATCGACAAGAAAGGTTTCAGTTAACCAACTGAGGTAAAACTGAATTGAAGAATTGAAGAACTCGCTGAAATCTTAACTCGCCTCACCAAAATCAGTTCTAAAACTCAGTGTAGAATTCTGTCTGCGAGCGAATAACTGTAACACATAATTTCGAGCTTAACTCGGATGCGCTTTTATTACGAGTGAACTCTTCACAAAAAAGGTCGTTACGAAGACTGTTTTTCGCACCGTCTTTGCAACACGTCTTTCGTTGCCTTGGCTGAAATATTTCCTAACACCAGATCATTTGCATAGAAACGGAAACTAATAAGCCCGGCATTGATCTGTTGATGTTTAGCAGAGGCGCCACCGTGGTGGCGGTCAAAGATGGACATGATCTCTTTACTGGGAGTCACATTTCTGCTCATGTATTGTTCCGGCTGAGTTTCCGGGAAATTCAATTTATGGCCTCAACCCAATAAATCTGAAATTCGATGGTCCCGTTTCGAACTTCTTTTAAAATTTGATCAGGGTTTTAAGAACGAATATGTAAGATAAAGAAATTCATTCCAATGAATATTGACTTCGGTGCTAAGTGTTCCGAAAACGTGCCTTTTTGTTACAATACGAAAAATATATATAATCAAAAAAATATAAAAACAGGTGCCAACGGCTCCATTATGTCTTGCCAACGTGACGGAAGAGAATACGCCGTAATCGAAAATTAAAATTAAATCCTTTTTCGTAACAACGTAAGGCAAAATACACGGACAATTTCGACGCTCTGTTAGTAGCGGCGGATAAGTTGAGTTGCTGCAGGTCCATCAGTGGACTCAGAATGTCGATTGTTAGCGGAGTTAAATAACAATAGCTTCTAATCTTGTGAAATTGGAATAATCTTGGAAACTTTAAAATAAACTCAAATGATTAACGTAACTAACTGGTTATGTTAATTCGTAAAAAAACAGTGGTAAATGAAAAGAAATTTTTAATATTTTCAATCCGAAAACTACCCTAAAATCTATCAAGCACACAGACAGTGTTCTTTTTTCCTTTTATTTTTCCAGAATGGGCAACTGAGATACGAATTTGTTTCATGTAAATTACCCAATGCAAAGGTTAGTACGATTTAAAAGAGGCTTATATAATCACTTGGCTCTATTTGTTGAACATTGGAATTACCATCAACAAAAAGACTGACAATTCTGGCGTTTTCCCTTTTCCACATTTTCCGCCAATCTTCGGAATCTGCTGGCTCCATGTATCAAGCTTAAGAATAAACAATTGTTTTCCTGTCGGTTACGAGAGCGTACAAGTTTTGTCGTCGCCTCAAAGGCAGGGGATTGTATCATAGTTGTATGATATGTGCGATGTAAAATAAAGAAAGGGACAAGAATTCAAGACAATTAGAAGCAATACACCACGGTTGAAGAGCTAGCCGCTTCATGTCGTGAATAAATGTACACAGGCCTGTGTAAACTTCAACAATTATATTAATAGATCAAGAAGACGTGTTAGTATTGAATTGTACTGTCGAAAGCGCCCTTGAAATCCCAATATGTACCCTTGATTCGATTCTTTAGCCGGTGAAATATAATCATGTCTACTGTCTGTTCAAGAAACAGATAGAAAGCGTTCATGTATGCGGATATCTTCGAGCATACTAAGAAGGCGTCCTTAGTGAAACTGAAAAACATATGTATTTTCAGCAAAATGACATTCAGCGAGGTTTCTCTCCGAAAGGACTTCCAGATATGTTTGCTAATTTGCCTTGGCTTTGTTGTATCTCAGCTGGCGGTATTAGGAAAAACAATCGCCGTGTCAAAATGGCGGGAAAATAAGTGATCAAGGCGAAAGGCGATTGCTGGCGTTTGTGGACAATACTGGATTTCTACGAAGTGGAAAATTAAGGCATCGCGTGGTTGATACGGGAAAAATCGTCCCGGAAATCATTTCCGCGTTCGCTTTATTTTCTGCCGTGCCTAATTCCTAATATTGAAGAAGGAAATGGAACACAAAGGCTGAAACATCTGCTGGGAGAAAGCAAATGGACGAAGAAAACATTTACGGATACAATTAGTGTCGGGAAGATTTTACAATTCGTGAAAATGAGACCAGAAAAACGCAAATTCAAGAAAATCAATTCAGTTCAATTTTTAGTGAAGTCAGTCGATCTCATAAAATTAATTGGAGAGGTTTTGGGAAAAAAATAACAATATTAATAAAAAAAAACAAAAAAAAAAAAACGAAGAACTGAGAAAATATGTTTACATGAAATGCCCGTGGGAATTTTTGCTTTAGGCAGCCCTCGAAGTGATAAAAACAAACAACTTCCATTATGGCCACGACATGTTTTTATAATTATTCCGTTTCGCTGTCCTTTTTGTCTTTCTCGCACAAAAGAAGTCAAACGAAAGTAGATTTGCATTCAGTATATATACACTTAGTATTCAATAGTAATCATCAAGCTTCTTTTTTAAAGAGTGTGCATTTAAAGTGAAAACAAACTCCATTTGATTGTAAAACATTACTTTGTATTGCAGCGACAGCATGACGTTTTCACCTTTCCTAAAAGATCATATCTGAAAAAGTATATAAAATTCATTGTACAAATTTAAAATCTTTATGTGCCTTAAGTGTAGTTTATCAGAAGAATAGTATGGTCACAAGACAAAATACATATTTTTGTTACTCTAAAATACTAAATGGTATATTTAAATCTAAGCAAATAGAGAACGATTATTCGTTTCAAGGGGACCTTGTGAAGCATTTTAGTAGTTGAATTATCTCTTTCAAAAATTTTGGTTATCTCAACGGAAATATTTCGTTCTGCACTCTATTTCCTTCAAGTAACAAGTCAACGAAGTTTGTTATTTTATATCAAGAAAAGCACTCTCTGTTCTTTCTAAAATACCACTGTTTATTTTCTAAGACACGAGGTTTTATTTTACAAGTAAGAAGATGCGATAATGTACGATTATTTACCAGCTAGTAACATTTACAAATCATCGAAGATTGAGAAATAATTGGCACGGCGTGAAGTAAAATATAAGCTGCGTGTGTTCTAGGCACCAAGTTAATTCAGTGGCTGCTTTAAAAATGAGTATTAAGACCAAAAAGCCTTCTGAGATCAGTATTCTTTATGCGTGTCGAGTTTAATCCTTGAATTCAGTGTGAATGTCGAGGCTTTGGGCTTTTAGCAAACTACAAGAAAGGAGGGATTAAGTAACAAAACAAAGTTAGAAAGGAAAAGATACAAGTTAATCTGATAGCCAACGATAAGAAATAGCCAGAGACCCAAATCTATCTACATATTTTTAATTCTTATGAATGTTTCATCGCCTAACTTTACAAAATCTATTGAT